CGTTGATCGCATTTCTTGCCTCTTGGATTATAGGCCATGATTTACCGCCGTTCGTTCGTGTGCCTCGTGAAAATATGATATGATTCATCGTGGATTCGTGTCTTTGTAGAGGGTGAAGTATTGAGAACTGATAGAAAGATCGGAGAGAAAATTGAAGAGAAAATTTTTCAAAACGTAAACGAAGAATGTGAATTATTCGTACGATTATGCAACACAATTTTATATTTTTAGACGTGGAGGAAGATCGAGGATACGAGATAATGTTTAATAATAAATTCGTGAAGCCAAGATTTTAAATGGAAAATATATTTGAATTGAAATTGTATTGCCGATTTGAGAGTGGATTATTTAAAGATCGTGGATCAATCAGTGTAATAAATTTACGAGAAGTTGAAAATAGATAAACGAAGAAGTGAGGTAAAGAAATAATTCCACTTGATGAATTGCTCAATAATCCAAATTACCAAAAAAGAAAAAAAAAAGATCGTATCAAGAATATCATCGATCATTCTTACAATCAGAAAACAATTTTTCTGGATAGAGGGGTACGAAAACAGCATCGAAAACAATTTTCAAAATTCAAGAAGGATGAGAGGAGGAGCATATGCGAACGATTTTACGAGCTTTCGTCTCAAAGGATCGTCGATATCATCCAATTTCCATATCAAATGTGTCGGACCTAACGCCTGTAAAATCACTTGGAAATAAAACATTGGATCAGCAAGTTCTTGAGAATCGTGTAAGATCCTAAGACGATCTCTCTCTCCGTGGAATTATCTTTGGAAACATATTCGAGAGTGGAATTCATTTTTCTTGAAATGCTGAGAGAGATACTCGAAGGGACTATTTACATTGTATATATATATTTTTTTTTTAGAATTTGAACGAAACATCGAGCGACGATTTTTGCAAAAATTATTAGAATAAGAAAAGTTTAACAAAGTTTTTCAGTTTCGCAAAGTAGAAACAAGAATATATGCTAAGAGCTTACGCGAATATAATACGAACGATGGACGATCAGGATGAAAGTTTGAACGTATAAAAGTTAAGATGAAAATTATGATCGAGATCAACATTGCTCTAAACTCGAGGAAATTCAACGCAAGATGGATTTATTTTCTCGAGGACGAGCTTTTCAATCCTTTGAAATAGAAATGGAGAGGAATTTTCGAGGGAGAAATCAAAGATTAACCGATCCATCGAAAATTTATCGAGCGTATTAAACTCAAGTCAACAACAAATGCAAGCTAACCCTAACCAAAGGAACTCAATATCTTATTGTTTGAATTCGTTATTAATTCGTATTAAATTCACATCCGAGCTTCGTATTTTCACCCCCTCCTGGCCTCTAATAAATTCTATTATTACATAATCGCGCTAACGTGATAACCCCTCGTGTTAATTCCTCTTCGTGGAATTATTCGGAGGAAGGATATTTATTCGGGCAAGCACTCGTGGATGAATATTAAAAGCACCGCAGGACACGGTTCACGTCGATCGTTTTCCACCAGCTTTGACCCCCGAGTGACAAAGAATCGAGTTAATTGCCTTCCGTTCTTCGCTCGAGACGACGCTATTCAAAGATGTTTCTTACAATTAGTATTTCTTGTTTCGAAAACGGCGGACTCTCCCAGCATCCAAGAATCCGTTTCCTTTGAAAATTTCTCGGTTCCTTTCACCGGTCGATTTTACACCTCGTTTACATCACATCATATTAAGCGAACAAGTGGCGGGGTGAACGCGCTTTTGGACGATGATTCGATTCAAATTGATGTTAAAATAAAATAAGGGACTCGAGCGATTCGATTGAAATTTTTCTCTCTTCTAGTCACGCGGGTTTGTCGTCTTCTCGTTTGGCAGGGTCGAGCGCACAACGGAACGAGAAGACAGAACAATCTTCCGCGGTTACCAAACCCGTACCAATTAGGTTAGCCAGTCTTAAGCATGTTGCAGAGAATGGATAGTTTTGAATGGAACACCGATTGAACAGGTGGCAACTAGATATTCGCTTTACCACGAAATCCTATCTTGTCATTGAACTCCATTAACGACATTCTCATCCGGATATCGAGGGAGAGGGGAAGAATTCTTCTATCCATCGGGCACGTTTCCTTCAAAATATCGAAGCAAAAATTAATTTATTTGAATCTGCGTAATTTTTAATATTTATTTGATCCATGTATTTCACACCGATAAGAATATCACTTATTAAAATAGCTAAAGAAGAAGAAGATTAAGACCCTTTCAACGATACACAAGAATTTTCAATCCATCAAAATAACCATTCTCGCTCAGAGGGACACAATTTCTGGCTGGAAAAAATAGGAGAAAATTTTTCCATCAATTTTTACAAATGTTAAATTCATCACGCTGAAATTACCCTCCTCCCAACTTCGATTTTCCGTGGAAATTTGGCGAAACTGTTGCCGAAATCGGATAAAACGAGAGAATGTAGAGATCCAATTGAAAAATTCACTGGAATCCTTGCGAATAGCTCGTGTGTTTGATTGTTGTTGGAATCGAAGGAGGAAAGTCTCCTCGCCGTCCAAGTACAAACAGGATTTCGCCATCGTTTCACCCATCGAATCCCATCCCCCGTTGTTCAGCGGGATCTTTACGACTATCTTGGAAAATAAAAATGGCCAGAAATGAGAAACGCGTACAGCCGACAATTTTTCGACGCTTGAAACAAAAAAAAAAAANAAAAAGAAAGAGGGGATAAGCAAAGAAATTTCTTCGATAAGAAAAAAAAAAAAGAAATTAAATAATAATTAATGGAATGGAAGATCGAACGAAGAAGAAGTCTAGTCAAACACGAAAATTTTAATGTAAAATCGCATAATTATTCTAATACGTTTTATCACTCCTATATATACCCGTTGGTTGGCGAGAATACAATGGATCATTGCAATTTAAACAGAGAGATGAGACATTTTGATTTGGAATTAAGGCGGTGCTACGTATAAAACGTTTATTCAACGTTTTATCCTATTGTTATTCATAGAAGGTATCAGCATTGCTCCCTAGGATATATATTCTAAATCACGACGTTGATAATATAATATGTAGTGTGACCCGTATAAGGATATAATAAATGGAAAAACATAAAATTGCATGCAAGATTAATCGTTACGAGGGAAATTATTCTGTTTTCTACACTCGAAAGCGCAATATCGCGTAACGATTAAACGTGTCAGGGAGCATCAGCGTTAATAGAATATTAATTTGTTATGGTTACGGACATTAATATTCATCCGCGGTAGACTCGTAAAATATCGGCATTAATTACCTTCGAAATTTATACGGGATCCAAATTCATCGATCCGCCATTGCACTAACCCGATTCACTTCTTAATCTTCTCGAGTCGTGATAATATTTCTCGTATATTCAAATTATTTATCGACTTCGTAAACTACGACACTTAAAATTGTGTAATTGCTCTAAAATTCTTCTACGTCCCCGGATATTTTTTAAAGCGCTAGAATATCTCCATAATCCTATGGATTATTTATTAAGAGCCCTGTATAATATTCCTTAGATCTCTCATAAAAATACTAGGACTGTACAACTCTGGAACTCGTAGAATATTTACATCTCACTCTTAAAATCTTCAGATTAAAAAAGAAATCCTACGATTCTTCTCCACATTCTTCCCACAAAAATCTGTACTGATTCTTGGAAATTAAATTTAATTTCCAAAATTAAAAATTAAATTTCCAAAATTCGCTCGTCACACGTCTTCCATTCCATTAATTATTATTTAATTTCTTTTTTTCTTTCTTATCGAAGAAATATAAAAATTTATACAATCTTATCGAAAAAATATAAAAATTTATACAATCTTTGAAATTTCTATTAGGAATTTCTTCTATTCCTAAAAAAAAAAATGTGGAGAGAAGAAGGAAGATACGAACTCGAGAGAAATTTTTCACGCAGGACGCGTATACGCATCGATGCGTGTGCTCGCTGCGTCCAGGTGGACTCTGCTTAGGTGAACGATCGATAGAGCAGGTGGCAGCACATCGGCCCCCCCTGCTGTGTTTCCGGTACTCCAATACACAGGCCGGGTTCCAATAACACTCGTACTCTCTCGTTTGGTTGACAGCCGATTTACGAAAATTCGCTCGTCGATCGGATTTTGCCTCGAAAAATTTCATAGATAGGTGAGATAAAGGGAATTTCTCGACAACTCTCGTTAGAGAATTGGAAGGTTAGAGAAGGATTTGGAGTGTTATTTGGGAAAAAAAAAAAAAGAAAGGAAAGGAATGGATCGATCGAGCCATTTTTTTCGAAGCGGTTCTGATAAATTCAAGGATGGAGAGGGGAAATTTTAAAATCGACCGAAAATAACCGAAACTCGTTAATCAATCACGAGAAAACACGAGGAAATATTCTCCAAGTGCTAATTTCAAACTTCTTAATTTACGAAACTAATTTTAGGAAGGTTCAAACTAAATAATTAACAGCGGGCCAATTTTATATATAAATCTCTTTCGAGAGTCATTCCTGTGTTTCATATTATAAAGTTAACAATAATTATCGAAAAATTTTAACGAAACGAGTAAATTAATTTAATCAAATAGAAATTCGAATACTTTTAATATACTGATAAATGGAATATGAAACACAAAATATACAATTCAATTAATCCAAAATGTATGAATTACTGAACACCCTTATGCCAACAAATTTATTTCCTAACCAAACCGATAACAAACGAAGTTTTACTAAAAATCAATCTACTTTTATCATATATATATATATATATATAAAAAGAGAAAACTATTATTGCTAAAAAAAATTCCATTATCCCTAATATAAACTATCTCCTCTTCCAATTCTATAAATCGCAACTTCTAGATCCCTCTATCAACGATAAACTATAAAAACGAATACCATCATTCACAATTTCACAACCACAACGCGACATCCAAAGAGCGAAAGAGGCTCGTCCCTCTCAACAAGGATATCTCAATGAAACTCTATTCTCTGTACTCACTTTGCGTATGTCTTCTAGATTGTGAATTTCCGGCGAGAGTCCACCGTGCACGCAGAGGAACTGTTGGTTCATGAGGGCCGCCAGCGGCAGACAGTCGAACGCGTCCATGCAAGCGTCGTACACCCTCTCCGAGTATTTTATTTTACCTGCAAGCAGAGAAACAACGCGTCAACACGTACGCTGCACGTTTCACGCGTTCTCGAAACAACGAGAACTCGATACGCGCTCGATTGTCTCAACTTTTGCTTTTTTTCCTCCCCCCTTTCCCCTTTTTTTTTACAGACGCGTTCCCCCGTTTTGTTCGTTGGACGCTTTTTGTGCTCGGCGAGCAACAGTGAATAGAGGAGGGAAAAGAGAAGGAAAGGGTGGGTGGGTAAAGTTTGCCTTTTGAAATTGACTGGCTGTCGTTTGGAATATTATTATGAATGGAATCTTTGAGAAGATGCAATGCGAATGTGTTCAGTTTTTTTTTTTTCTTTTAGATAGATCGCAACAAAGGATAAAGTGGCCATTCCTCGAGAATAATATTGCGATCAATTATGGTGAAAATAATAAGATATTGACTTTTGTATTTATTCATCGAAATTATCGAAGGTATAAAAACGAAATTAATCAACGGCAAGTATTCTCGTTGATCTAAAAATTCTTAAGCATCATCGTGGAAATGTGATCGTCTGTGATCACATTCGAAGACCAAGAGAATTTCTCTTTACACAAAACGAAAGAAAAGAAGGTCGAAAGAAAAGAAAAGAATATCTTTGAAAAAGATATATTATTTTATGAAGAAAGGGGGAAATCAGAATTTCCAATTGCAGCTCTCTTTTTTTAATGGAGCTTTGGGAGATGGTTGCAGAAGAATATGGAACGCGCACGATTATTCTTTCTGGGGGATTGGGAGAAAGGGGAGCGAAGGATAGATAAAAGGAAAAAAGAGGAGAGAAGGCTCTGGAGAGCAATGAAGAAGGGTTGCAAGGGAGGGCAAGTTTCCATGCGTGAAGTCATCGTAAAAGAAGGAGGAGGATGGTGCACGCACCCCTCTGTCCACTGAGAATAATAAATCCCTCCATTGGAGGAATTTTCGCTGCCTCGAGTGAAAAGTAAAGGGAAGAAGTTGGCGTTCCATGGAGTGGAAAGGATCCCAAGATTTCTTTCTTCTCTCTTTGTTTCGTTTCGAAGAAAGGACGATAATTTTTGTCGATTTTTATTTTGCAAAAATGCAAGAGAAATGCCGCACGAAGAAAATGTGTGCGTTTATTGGCTATTTATTCTTTGAGAGAAAATAATAATTCCTCTCACTTTTGTGTATTTTTTTTTAAGCGCCGAGGATGTGCATTTAAAAAAAAAATACTTTGAAAAATAGGATAGAGGATCTCAATCGACAACTTCCATTACGTTCCCTTGCTATTTACTCTCTAAAGCAAGCTTCCTAAACATCTGAGACAATCGAACCTAAGATCTCCATTAAAAGAACTATCCGTTACAAAGTTCCAAGTGTCCCCCTCCTCCCCCCAAACTCTTCAACTTCCTAAACCTACCGACTTCGATTCTTATTATAGACTTTCCTTCTCCATAGACGTCCTTTCTCCATGTACATTCCCAAGGCAAACACGTACTGTCAGTTTGATAACACAATTTCGCTTCAAACTTCCCAATGATTCGAAGAAATTTGGAAAATTTTGAAAAACTAACAAATTTTCGTTCGATAATAATCTAATGATTTTCTAAACCATAATCTTTGAAAGGTTTTCTTTTCAATTTTAAACAAAATATACGGGGAACGGAACGATAAGAGATTCGAGAGAAGAATAATATATTTCTTTCGAAAAATTTTGAAAAAGTATCGAAAAAATCCTCTTTAATCACACACAGGGAATATTTACGGAAGGAAAGGATTCGAGAAAAGGAGGATTCATTTTATTTTCTAACTCTTCTAATCCACGACTGATCTATCACGGAAAGATCTATCCATCCCGCGACGAAACTTGAAATCGTTTCGTTCTTGACTTATTTATTCGGGTCAAAAGCTCGCAAATGAGCTTTCTGGAGTGTCTGAGCGCTATGTCCGACTGGGATCAAAAGAAAGTCAAGGGGGCGGAACTCGATCCCCTCGTTAATACAACGAGAGAGGCGTGAGCGGGAAAGAGGCCGAGAAGAAACGAGCGTGTACGAGCGTGTTAGGAAAGGATGATGTTACGAAACTACGCGAAAATTAATCGTCTTTATTCTTATCATCCAAGTGTTCCAAGATTCCATTTATTTCTCGATGATTGCAATTCAAAATAATATCCGCAAGATTTTATTCCAGATAAAATACTCTTTCTATCGATAATATTCTAAAATTTTTGGAAGGAGAAGCGTCTATACGATGCGAAGCCTTCGAAAGACGAATTAGTTATGCGCGGTTATGTTTATATATATTCGTATTCAAAGTGTCGACATTACGTTCGTATTTACGTTTTGATTTTCTAATCTCCTCGAATTAAATTCCACGAAATATATTAATACGTATATGTATACATATCGTGCCTCGATTTGTTTTCGTTCTCGAGACGAGCGAGTTATTAATTTATTTACGATAATAGAAACGTAATATTTATTAATTTAAAAATTTCTTTCAATCGATGGACGAGAAAAATATGTATACGATTGTTTTTTTAGATATATCTTCTTTTTATTATTTTTTTTATTATTGTTTTTTTATTCAACAAAAATTTTCTCGCGTGCCTGCCTCAAAAAAGGGATTTTTTCCACGATATCTAGAAACAGAAGGATCCGATAATAATTGTATTTACCTGGAACACCTAAAAGATCGAAAAGTCTCGAGAAATCCCTTTCCCGATCGTTTCGTGGAAATTGCTTAACGCGATATCCTTTCACGGACCAATCCGGTCAACTCCTCCTCTGTTACCGTTAACCCAATCCTGAACTCTTTTCATCGTGTTTTTTCCTAGTCTAGAATTCCTACAAAATCGAACTTGCTCACGATACGAGACGAGTAATGATAAAATTATACAAAATACGCGTAAACGCCAAGAAGAAGAAGAAGAAGAAAAAAAAAGGAATATTATCTCTATTGCAAAAATGCTAATTGCGAAAAGGAAGAAAAAAATACCGTTATCGTCGCTCATTCGAACGATCTTTAATTAGATCGAGTCGCAACTTTTCCAATCCAATTACAATTTTCTCTCCGGTACTCGAAGAATACACCAGGCTTGGCGCGTTTAAACAGTTACAAGATCCAATCTACGAATCCAATCCCCCTCTCCCTTTTTTTTTTTTTTTTTTTTTGATTATCGGTCTTCGACCTTAACCCGATTCTCCCCCGACACGGTTAAAATCGCGAGCCTAGTAAATACACGCGGCTTGACCCAGTATCGGACAATTTTCCACGATCGATACCACGTTTTCCGCGGCCTGCGCCACGCAGAGACCCCTAAAAAGACCCGTCCCACCATCGAATTCGATTACGAGAGGAAATACTCATTTTCTAACAAGAGCTCGTCCCTAAATGCAATCTAATCTATTCCTGTATTGAGTGAGCGAGAAAATATTGTTTTCTCTGAACGAAAGCAAACGAAGATCGAGACCTTCTCTCGTTAATTGGCACGGATATATCTATGTATAAATATATCATCTTTTTAAAATATATATATAGAAGATATCAAGTGTTAAAGTTAGTTAAAGAGACGTATCTGAATTCTTATGATGTTGGAAGAAATTTATACAAACGAAGATCGAGATTTTCTCTTACACTATTAATTGACATAAATATATCTATGCATATTCCTATGGAACATTGAAAAGCCGATGCAAATGGATAAAGATGTCGCAAGAAAATATTATCTTCCAGAATCGTATATATGATAATAGGAGATAAATTTTAGGAGGATGTTTATCAACGTAAAATGTTAAAATTAGTTAAAGAGACGTATCTGAATTCTTATGGATGTTGGAAGAAATCTGTGCAAACGAAAATCGAGACCTTCTCTCACATTATTAATTGACATAAATATATCTATGCATATTCCTATGGAAAATTGAAAAGTGGATAAAGATGTCGCAAGAAAATATTATCTTCCAGAATCGTATATATGATAATAGGAGATAAATTTTAGGAGGATGTACATCAACGTAAATTGTTAAAGAGACGTATCTGAATTCTTATCGATGTTGGAAGAAATCTGTGCAAACGAAGATCGAGACCTTCTCTTACACTATTAATTGGCACAGATATATCTATGCACATATTCCTATGGAAAATTGAAAAGTGGATAAAGATGTCGCAAGAAAATATTATCGTATATATGATAATAGGAAATAAATTTTAGGAGGATGTTTATCAACGTAAAATGTTCAAGATAGTTAAAGAGACGTATCTGAATTCTTATCGATGTTGGAAGAAATTTATACAAACGAAGATCGAGACTTTCTCTTACACTATTAATTGACATAAATATATCTATGCATATATTTCTATGGAAAATTGAAAAGTGGATAAAGATGTCGCAAGAAAATATTATCTTCCAGAATCGTATATATGATAATAGGAAATAAATTTTAGGAGGATGTATATTAACATAAAATGTTAAAATTAGTTAAAGAGACGTATCTGAATTCTTATGATGTTGAAAGAAATTTATACAAACGAAGATCGAAACCTTCTCTCACATTATTAATTGGCACAGATATATCTATGCATATTCCTATGGAAAATTGAAAAGCCGATGCAAATGAATAAAGATGTCGCAAGAAAATATTATCTTCTCAGAATCGTATATATGATAAATTTTAGGAGGATGTTTATCAACGTAAAATGTTCAAGTTAGTTAAAGAGACGTATCTGAATTCTTATGGATGTTGGAAGAAAGCTGTGCAAACGAGGATTACTTTGTTAACGACAAATAAGATAGGTTGATATATTGGTTGGCGTATTACTTTGACAATGGAAGTGCATCGATAAAGATCGACGAATTACCATTGTACACTCGTAGCTGCGAAAGAAATATCGCTTTTTGCTACACGTAATTTATTTACGCGCATTCTTTGCGAGATTCATCATCAGTGTTATCGATGATTTATCTACTAGGAATAAATAGTTAGATATATCATTCAATATTGATCAGGGAAACGAAAATTTTTTTGAATGATATACCCTTCTGAAATCTCTTCTGGAATCGAACGAAGATGGAAAAGATGCAATTTTTATCAACTGTGCAAAGTCGAGTGGATTTTGACTTGTTTCGATGAAATGAACGATGATATTAGCCTAGTATCTGTGAATGAAATTTCGAAGAGGAATCTTAAGGATAATTATTCGAGTTTAGGAATTTTTTTTTTTTTAAAGAATCTTGTCTAAATTTGTAATTCAAGCTTAACGATGTTTAATTAACGATATCGTCAACAACGTTTCGAGATTCTATTAAACTTTGAATTAAACGTATCATTCTCAGCTTTGACAGATTACAAACTTGTTACTTTAAGAGTTACTAAGTACCTTTTTTTTATCGTCCATGTAATAGCGTTAGTCGCGTCATTAATTTTTCACGAGACGATTTACGAGTTATGATTTATTTGATCGCAGTTCGTTATCACGTATTCGTTGCAAAGATAATTTATCTTTAACCATCCATTGAATGGATGGGTAAAATAAATGAACAAAGAAGAAGAAGAAAAAAAGATGTCAAAATTGACATTTTGAAATCACGAGAAAAGCTAAATCTCTGAATCGAAAGATATATTTTCTTTCTAAAAAAAAAAAAAAAAAAAAAAATTATGAACGAAGATGAAAATGTTATCTGGAGAGTGGAGCAAAAGATTAATAATAAAAAATTAAATTAAAGAAGTTAAATCGAAAATGATGGATGATATTTCTTTCGAAAACGTAACGAAAACCGTTTGCCAGGAGAATCAGCATCGTAATAAAGAATGCTGCCAGTTTCGACAAAAGGGTAGGATGAAAATCCAGAATAGAATAGTAATACATGGAATCCTTTGTGCTTCGAATGCTGATTTTTATTTCTATTTTTATTCTCGTATCGTTGCGCGGTTTCGTTGAAATTTGAACTCGAAATGAAATCGAGGGAAACCGATCACCCATTGAAAATCGATCGAAGTTCGTGTGAACAAGCGTCGGAAAATCGGAAATCTGATCTTTCGAAAAATACCTCCATCCATCGTGAGAAAGAAAGAGAAAATTTATTTATTTATTTCAATCTCGAAAGATCAAAAAACTCAAGGGAACAATCGAATTCTTGAATCGAATGAAAATCTCAAATCCCAAAAAATTTTATGACAATCATTCATTCATAATCGGTGTGAAATTACTTACATTCTTGCTTAAATGTGAAGTATTCCGTGAGATGACGGCACTCGTGATTGCCTCTAAGGAGGAACAGTGTGGTTGGATGGCACAGCTTAAGTGCCCACAGGTACAATACGCACTGGAACAAAGAAAGAGAAACGTGATATTAATTGTAAAACGTTCCTTGCGTTCGAATAAAGACAAAAAAAAAAAGTATTCATTTTTACATATCACTTTTTGGACGACGAAAATATGCAAACGAGCGGTGTGAAATTCGTCTCGTTACAGATGAAGTGGCCGCGTGACGAATTGCTTAAAATATTTCCGAGCCGAGGTTGTTAATTTTCCTCACACGAGTTCAACGCGATTATAATAATTGCGCTTCATTGCGCTACATAAACGGTTCCACGAATTATGCTTAGGAGCTAGCAATACGTTTGCTCTTCGCCAAGGCGGGAGAATAGGGCCATAAACATTACTTCAATAGGATAATTTTGACATTTCCAGATATCGAGATTCTGCATTTAATTCTAAACACGTATTGCCCGATCTTATTTTGCGCGAATAATGAAAAATTATATCTCATAATTTTTATTAGAGAGATCTCCTGTTATCCTCGTGTTTTCCTGAAAAGATAAAAAAAAAAAAAAATGAAATATGAATTATCATATTTCCCAGAAAATATCAACCAACGAGTTATAAAACTTCCTTTGAAACGAATCACTTTCATCGTGCATCCTAAATTCAATCCACCCCTTCTTAATTTCCGCGTATCATTATTATAATTATTAATTTAATCAGAAACTCCAATATCAAATTAATATATACACTCAAAATATAAGTATACATTTTTTATTATCTCTCTTCAAGAAAAAAAAAAAAGATCGTCCAAGCCCCTCCATAACCCCCCACGGGATTCCAAAATTCTTTCGGCCCGCAATAATTTATCCGCGATAAAAGCGCAAAGGACAGCGCGGGTGCAACACACTTCACTTCATTCGAACGGATGAAACAATCGTCGAAACTTGGCCGCGTTTGTTCGAATCGATATCGAATCGAGGAAAGGGCGGGACACGTTGTGCATGTTTTATTCATCGTGTATAACATTAACCGTTTGTTTCGAATGCGGGTATCCACAGGTATTAATGCACGCATATTCGAGCATACCCCGTGGTGGAACAATCGTGCATAAGCAGCCGTGAATACGCTCGATTGTTCCCCCGGTTCTTGATAACAGCGTTCGAGTGCATTTTCGTTTTATTGGCGAGATGAGATGACGACGCGAGAGGCGATTCCAGGTGGAGGGGCGAGATTATGATAATTCGAGGGGATTATTGCCAGACCACCATTGGGACGCGATTTCTTTGATTTCCTCGCGCGAAATATTCTATCGTTTTTCAAATTCGTTCCTTCCAACGCCTTCTCGAGGGAAAAATGAATCAGGCGCGAGTTTGGATATTTGAAAACGCGTGTGTCTTGGAACTATTTATTTTATCTCCGAAGGATTGATCGCCAAAATGAATTATTAAAAATAATTTCTCAAAAAGATTGAATTAATTTCCGTGGTTAAATTATTCGGATCGAAGTATCGGTCAATTTCGAGCGCGTATATTTAACAACAATAACGAGAACAATTGGCCGAATCGTTGTGAACGCACACACGCCCTTTGTTCCATTTACGAAGGGGGCAGGGAGGGTGTAACTGGTTAATTACTCGAGCTGATCGGAAGAGTTGATTAATAGAAATTCGGAAAATGATCGATGCTCCGCTTTTGTGCCCTCGTCGTCGCCGTTATCCGCGGCTCTGTTACGCGTTATCATCGCCATCGCTATGAAATCCATTTTCATTTTATTACCAGATCATGGTCTATTTCGCAAACACGGATCGGTAATAATACCTGTATCAATTCCGAGCTCCAATTCAACGAGTTTAAACTCTCTAATGTTTGCAGAGTTGGGAATAATATTCATTTAGCAATGGAATGGAAAACGTTTGTTATTTTTTTTCCTTTTCTTTTTTGTTAACGAAACTATTCGTTGAATGAAACTTTCACATTTTTGTGTACCAATTTTTTTTTTTTTAAACGAAGCTTCGAAATTTCAATTTCTTATTATTTTATTATTTATTAAATTTATTAAAGGTATTTCAAAAGCACAAACAAGGAAAGTTCTCGCTGGTTGGCTACCTCATCCGACGTGACACCACCTGTCGATCTGACAATTGGTTAATTTATCTTTGGACACGGTGTCACGGTTTGTTACGAGAGTCGACGCGATCAAAGAATCCGTTGTCTCGTCGTCGAAGAATCGTTAATTTTGAACGACGAATAATTTTCCAAAGTTTTCGAGGGAATTTCGAAAGTCGAGAACGGTTCGAGAAGAAAAATGAAAATTGGCGAGAAAATTTCTGAGAACAATGGATCGTTTTAAATATAAGCGAAACGTGATATTTTTGCACGCGAAAAAACTCGACGATTCTTTGGAGTACGTGACAAAATATCATTTAACTGTGAGTCTGATTTATAACGTTGGCAAATGATCATCGTGCATCGTGTCACTGATCCAAACAACGTCGTTGGTATCGGTGAATGCGTTAGTCATCGTGCCAGATTTTCCTATCTTTGTCGACACTTGCTTCGTTTTATTCGAATTAGTCTAGTCGAATTGCAATTTGTAAAGATCTCCGACGTTAATTTCTTAAATCGTTGCTCTTCGAGACAAAGACTTGCAACAAGATTTTTGGCAGAATTGCAAAGCGGGATGTACAACTAAAATCGTTTAATTATAAAATATGAAGATCTTGAATACAAAAAATCCTTAAAATAAGTGAAACTGCATTATGAAAATAACGATCGAGGAGCTTGTTGTTAAATGTATATTTTCAAATCAATTATCTTTAATGCATCATTAATAATATCGTTATAAGTAATATACTTTCAAAAATAATCATATTTATCGCGCAATTTATTTTAAAATTTGATTTTGAAACGATATTAAAATTCGAAAAACTTTGAATCGCTATAACTCCGAAGATGACGACTTCCGGTCAACGAATGAACGATCAACAGAAGCGCGAATCCTTGCTCTTTAAAACGCTTTTTCACTTATTTTAATACGACTTCCGGTTTTCGAGATATCGTCGCGTAAAGAAAATGTAATTTTTAATCCTTTACTTTAAACCCGATTGAATCCTATTAAAATTACCGAAACTTTGAATCGCTGTAACTTCGAAGATAACGACTTCCGGTCAACGGCCGACGATCAACAGAAGCGCGGATCCTTGCCCTTTAAAACGCTTTTTCATTTATCTCGATACGACTTCCGGTTTCCGAGATATCCTCGCGTAAAGAAAATGTAATTTTTAATCCTTTACGTTAAACCTGATTGAATCCTATTAAAATTACCGAAACTTTGAATCGCTGTAACTTCGAAGATAACGACTTCCGGTCAACGGCCGACGATCAACAGAAGCGCGGATCCTTGCCCTTTAAAACGCTTTTTCATTTATCTCGATACGACTTCCGGTTTCCGAGATATCGTCGTGTAAAGAAAAGGATAATTTTTCGTCATTTATTATCTTCGTCCTTGTCGCTTACTCGGACCTTTCGCTCGCACCTCGCCTTGCTGACCTATCCCAAAGTCCAGACGAGTGAGCGATTCCTGGAAATAATGCATAGTACGCATTTCCAGGAAAAAAATGTAGGTCAGTGTGTCGCGTGCCCATTCATAATTCTCGTGCCCCGTTTTAAGCGGTATGGAAACTTTGAGACCTTATATCTTGGCAACCAATTGAGATATCGGGATAAAACAAAAAAGGACTTTAATGGCATGGCTTCCTCTACTTTCCAAGGGTGTTTTGATGCCAAAATTTTTAACTTTTTCCCCCATATTTTTCACACGAAAAATCAAAGTTTCGTTTGTGATTTTGCTTCATAGCAACGATTATCGTGAAGTAAAGCATATAGATGCTTCAATTTACTTAATTTTACTGTATTCTGATTTATAATTTGATCTTAAGTGTATAATAAATATAAATATCCTCATATCGATATTCGAACAAATATAATCTGAATAACAATTTCCAATACAAAAAGAAAAAAAAAAAAGTTTAAATGTCGTCATACTGTCTCGAGTGTCATATTTTTCCGTACCGTTGAAATTACACGATTTTCTGGCACAGGGAAATCGCAATTTCCTTAAAACCGAAAATTCCATCACAACCTCGACGGACCCTTTGGAATCAATTAATTCCACTTTGTTAATTCATTCGACTGTCTACCACGCCAGCTCCTTTGTGCGCCAAGTCCTTCGGTTGTCCCTTTGCGAACTCACTCGAGCGATACTCCCTTTTTCCACCCCCGTCCTCCCTATAATTAAGCGCGAACCACCGTTCTATCGCAACGAAATCATTTATCCGGCCATTGTCCCGCAGTTTGCCGTAAAATTGTCTCGTAGACCCCGGCATCACGTTCATTATTTCGCTTCTCAAGATTCGCCCTCGTTCTTTTCGCGTTCCTCGCGCAGAAAAGCGGAAATCCTCTTCCGTCAGAGGCGCCTTCTCTGCGTTTCGTGAAAGATGAAGAAACGGCGCGCAAACCTTCAACGATTCTGTTAATTTCCGAATAGTGAAACCGCTTTCAACTTGGTTGAACATTCTCTGGTCGGGCGAATTCAATTTTCTTTCCACGCCTGTTCACGCTCGAGCAAAGAAGCATCTGACGATTGCATTCCTTGGTATTCTTGATAATAATTCGTCGTGCTCTGAAGGAATGCCGGTTTTTTTTTTACGATTTTTTGTTAAGGAGAAAGGTAGAAGTATCTCTATTCTTCCCCTATTCTTTTAAGGTAAATACGAATAAAAGGGAAGCGATCCTTAAGCGAAAAGGATTATTCGTGATCGATCTTCTGGTGACCCAGAAAAGGAGATACAAACTCGAGCAATCGAGAGACCAATTCCTATAAACTACCATTTATGTTTTCCCAATCTCCACCTGGAGAAGGATTATCGACCAACGGCTGAACATTGGTCCGAGAAGGAAAATAAAATCGTTTCCTCAAGATAATTCCTCGAGCCAAAACCGATCCGGTGTACATCGCCAACCAAAAATTTCGTATCGTTAAAATAGTACACTTAGAATCTAAGAGATTGAAAAGAAATCAGAAGATGATTTAAGAATAGCAATTTTACGATGGAAATGAGAGAGAATATTATCACGTAATAAATTTCTTCTCTCTATATTTATAGATTATTGGTAATTATTTTTAATTATAAAGGATGCCTTTTCCAAACTTTTAGCTCGTAGTGTATCCCCTCCATACGTTTTTGTCTTTACTTCGAGCAGGAAATAAGTACCATCTGGATACACACGAAAGAAATCCACTAAACGATATCGACGATATAAAGATAAGAGGGTCAAAGGATTGATCCTTCACAGAATCCTCCAATTTATTTTCCTTCCCTTGCTTTTTTTTCTCTCTCTCTCTCTCTCTCCGTATGTCATAACCATCTTGCTCGATTCGTTCCCTATTCTTGCTCACTTCTCCCCTCCTCCCCAGAATCGCTTCAGGGGCTCGTTTCAGCTTCCTGTTCGCCAACGGACCCTTTTTTGTTTCCGCTTTAACCGAGTCCAATTTTCCTCTATTCCCTTCCTCCATTTTCTTCTCTATCATTTCTCGGTTCAACGCGACTTCCTTCTTCGATTCTTGAATCTTTTCTTTGGCTTCTTTCTTTCGTTCGTTTCAAAACTCGATGCCTTCTTGTAATTCGATTCTAATTATTTCCTTCGATTCTTGAAAATTTATTATTTTACAAGCATCTGTTGGAAAATTCGATATAATAATAACAGCTCGTGAAACTTATTTAGAGGATACGTTTTTTTAAAGAGATTTTATTAAAAATCCATCTAGATAATTTATTTAATTTGTTTAATCTATTTTAAGAGTCTCTCCTGGTAAATCTAAATCGTATTTGAATCCGTGATGGAACGATTTAAATTCTACTTAACACCAGATGAAGCAGAATCCGTCTTTCGAGTTGCAAGCTCCTCCTAAGTCCCAGAAATCAAACTCTAACTCCATCCGGCAAATGTTGGAAACTCAATCGAAATCATTCTCGTTTATCATAGAGTCGAATCCGATTGTTAAAATGATGGCATGGCTTCTGGTCCGTTCTTAATCACTTAGTCTGGATCCTATCTGCTTTTCGCATAATTATCCACTGGTTCACTGGTACGTCCTCCAGTATATTTCCAAGTGATTTTTAATAATTTTTTCTTTTTTTTACGTTTGAAAATATAGTTTCAATCAAAATAGTTTCACTCCAAGTGAAATAACATTGGAAAGGAAGGATATTTAAAATTTTACAATATGGGGGAGAAGTCACAATTAATCCTTTTTCTCTTCCTCGAGAAAATTTCTTAATCAAAAAGCCCAAACTTATTATTTCTTGTCACAATGCGGAAAGAAATTTATCTCTATAAATTATTCAATTAAATAACAGCGTGGAGAGCAAGAATAATTTCCACCTTTCTTACCCTTCCTCGTTGTCTTTAATCAACTTTCTCAACATCTCAAACTTGTCTATCATTTTCCATTTCTTCTTCCTTCTTCAATTCTATTTGTTTCCTTTTTCGATAATTCCTTTCAACTTCTTTCGCTCGATCGAATAATCAATCCCCTCTTCGTTTCTCCTCACTTCGAATCTTCTTCTCCTCCTGATCAAATATCCTTTCTTCCACACACGCACACACACACACACTCTTACAACGCGCTCCACACGCGCTCCATTTCCATTTATCTTCCCCATCACCGTTAAATATTCCCCTTACACGCATTTCTCTCTTCCTCCATCATCACTTCCTCCGACACTTCCTCCGTTGCCACTAATAAATATCTTCTCTTTCCCCCCTCCCCTTATCCTTGTCTTTCCCTCCTCCTCGTCCTTTTCTCCTTGAAAAACGAAAAATCTACCGCGTGGAAAGCGGTGTATATCGCGCGGTAAAAGAGGATCTGAAGGATATATATCTCTCTCTCTCTCTCTCTCCAGGGAATCCAGCGAAGCATATTGCGGGTAGAGAGTATCGATCTCCACGGAGGAGGAGGAGGAGGAGGAGGAGGAGGTTCGTTGCGTTCTTATTCGTCGCGTGTGCAGATGCTCGCGTTGTCCAAGATCCTCTTAATAAAACTGCCCCATGGATTTTTCGAAATTCTCATCGTGCGAGAGAGAACGATTTTCCTTCGATCTATTGGATTCTATTAGATCTAGTTATTCTATTAGATTGTACGATTTCTTTTCTTTTCTTTCCGAACGCGAGATTTTTGATATTTTGCGGGGAAGATGTTTAATTTCGAACGAGCGTTAAACGAAGGATAAAAATATTTTCGAATCGATGATGATTTAGATTTATATTACGCGAACTTTCCACGCTTTCAAAGATTCTATTGTGTTAACGTTTCCTATTACGTGGCGTACGCGAAGTGTTTATCTCTCTTGCGGTAGGATGAAATTCATTAATGGAACAGCGACAGTGACGAAGATGTATCACTTCATTTCGTGGCATTTACAAGTTTAGAAACATTGGATTTAGATCTGTTTGAGAGCAATGCATATAATGTCACAAGACTGATGGCGTTGAGCGAATTCTACGAATATGTAATTTAAATCCTCGAAAGGGTTCGAGATAAATTTCATTTTTATTATATCGTATTATATAAATGATACGTGTTCAATTTCGTTTTAAAGAATGGAATACGATTTACGAGAACGCTGTTATAAAAAAGCAAGCAGGAAGTAGAAAAAGAAAGAAGAAATACATTGCAATACACGTATCATTATTACGATATATATATGCAATTCTTTTGATATAAAGAAGAAAAACTCAAAATTTCTAAGAAACTCTCGCCAATGATACGAGTTACTAATTGAATAAAAAAATTTACAAGATGGCCTGGCCGCTGAAGAAGCACATGTAAACTGGCTCTAATTAGTTACCGGCACAACTCTAAGTAATTCTCTTTCCATCTAATTAAACCACTAATTTCTTCCACTTAACGACCACGTTTCATATTTCGCAGAGAGAAAGGAATTACATTAAAAAATTTCCAAGTCATTTTGAGCGAGAAAAATAATAAACGAGAAAAATCTATTATATCTCCCTATGAAAATTTCTTTCTTTCTTTTCTTTTCTCACGGTGAAATTGATCTTTACAAGGGAAACCTTTTTTTCTATATATTCTCTCTACACACTCAAAACGATAATAAAGCTTCGAGAGCTTTATATCCGCGCGCGGAAAATCGAACGGAGAGATGCAAATCTCTCAAGAAGATCCCTCCCACGAGATTCTTTATAACTCCAGCAGCGTATTAATCGAGCAATTAACCGAGCGGATCGTTAATTAGAGAGGATGGATGGAAGGAGAGGGAAGTCAGCTTCCTCGTAGATGCGAGTCTGCACGCGTTCTCCTCCATCGTCGCGATAAGAAAAGGCCAATTTTCATTCTCCTCCTCGATATGAAAAAGCAAATTTTCGAGGAAAAGAAATCTAGACAAGTTTGATCAAGATGCAAATTGTTTCAAACGGATACGTTACACACATTCGAGAAAAGAGAATTTCATTAATCTCTCGTTCATGCGTTTGAAGTTAGGTTTGAAACGGGAGAATGATGAATTTTCAAACTCACCTCGATACTGAAATAACCCCTGTCTACGTAATCGCCGAGGAAGAGATACTTTGTCGTGGAGGGTGATCCGCCCACTTCGAATAACTTCATCAGGTCGTAGAACTGTCCGTGAATGTCGCCGCATACTGAAACAGAGACAGGTATACATTGGTCAGAGTATTTTTAAAAAAAGAGAGAAGGAAAGAAAGAAAGAAAGAAAGAAAAACAAGTGATCAGGATGAAACGAGTTTTCGATATAATTTTCAATTTATCTCGAGATATCTCTCTTTCCATCCTCGATAATTGCCGATTCGAAACGTTCGAAAGAAATTCGAAACGTTTTTCTTTCGAATCTTTCCCTCCCCTTTTGAGCGATTGTAAATCAATTTCCAATGGAGATTGGCCATAGTTTAGTTTTTTTTTTTAAATGTAAAAATTCATTAAGACTTCTAAAACGAACAACTGTCACCCAAATATACCTTAAAATTCGATAATGATGAACCCATCACCAATTTGCATCTCGATCATAAAATCCAAATTCAAGCAATCAATAAAAGATCTCCTTATTTTACGCATGTAAAACCAATAAATCATTTTTCACGATTCATTTATTTTTCCATTTTCGACAAGATACTTTTTAAATTCTTTCTATCTTCTCCCAAAGAAATAGTGATTTTTCAACTCTCTCAACATCCAGCGATCTATATCTACTCGATAAAAATAAATAAAAAAACAAAGAGAAAGCTATCGTAAATATAGGTATCTCGTTACGTTCGAACCAGATTGTCGCGACCACGCCTTCGACAAGGAAAAAAAAAAAAAAAAAAAGAAAAAATAGAGAAAACAAAGAGAAAATAGAAAGGAGTAGAATCATTTCAACTTAGTGACCCCGTTTTAATTAAACGCACTTACGTACGAACGATTGCGTGCTGCACGATATCGTTGCGTTGTCACGCGTGCACGCACACCAATCACGTGATTTAGAACGATATTTTCCAACCAATCTACATTTTTATTTTCCACTCTTTCTTTCTTTTTCGAGGCAGAGCAGAGCAAAGTTCGAAATAAGTTCAATTTCTTCGAATAATTCTCGCGTCTTTTGAGAGGAACCGAGGGATAAGAAAAGAGGAAGGAACAATATTTTGCAAGTTATTACAGTTTTGCTCTCATTTCGTTTTCATCGAGGTTTGAATATCGATATTGTTTTTCTTTTCGATATTAATTAATTTTGATGAATCGAATCGAAGGAAATATCAGAGAGAAGTGAAATAGAAGCGAATACCCGTTTCAAAATTGGAGGAGGGGGGGGGGGGATGGAGAAGGAGAAGGATCTTGAAACTCTATCTCCAACACTTTCACGATAATTCACCGAGAAAGAAATCCAAGAGAATGAATTCACCGTTAATGGTACACTAGTATTTAAATATTGCGTCTTCCTACGATTACAACCCTTCTCCCTTCTGCAACTTTCAAACTTTCATCGAAGAAACTCAAGATTCTCCCAACAGATTTAAAGATGGATATAGAATGAGAATTTATGGGATAAAATTGAAATAGACCAGCAACGACTATCAATATTCGCCACGTATAAATATTTCATACGTTCGATTGTCTCAATTTTAAGTAAATCGCAAGATTGCCACGAACGAGTTTTTACTTACGAGAACCAAACGAAAATATCTTGGAGACTATCAGCAAAAGTAGAAATTTATTATTTTCAATAATAAATGGAACTTGGATATTTTTCAATATTTTAATTCTTGATCTGAGAATCTTTCCATTTTTCACGAGGAATTATCCGCATCCTTTACGCAAAGGAAACAATGGCGATGAAACGAGGGGAGGAAAGTTTTCGAACAGTCGTTTGGCAAAGTTTCGTGGCGCGAGGGCCAAGAATATGAATGGATTTTTTGAAAAATAACAACGAGGTGGATGGATCATCGATAAATCGATAAGCTCTTATCCTCTCGATAAAGATCGAGGGGAAGTTTTTAAATATTCGCGACATCTTAAATTGCGGATAGATGTAACTTATTTCAAGGAAGTTGAACACAAAAGTTGCTTCTTCTGCCGAGAGAATTACGGGGATTTACCGCATCATCGCGCTTATAAATCTTCCTATCGAATCGTTGGTGAACCTTCCCTTCCCTCGAACGAGCATGCATCGTGGAGGAAGAAATACGTCTTACTTAACTTTCCCTTACTTCTCTTGTTCGAGATCGAATTTAGAAAAATATTAAATGAAGATGTTAAATCGAACGCGTTTTCGTTCTCCAAAATCGACGAAAAGAAATTTGAAGAAGAGTTGTTATTATTGCTGATAATTTGTTCCCTGAGAATAAATAATGAAGTTTCGACTTGGAGAAAAAATTAAAACAAATAAGTGAAACACGTTAAAAATTAGACATAATGTTTGCGTGTATAAATATCGCAAAAATGTATTCTTCGAAACGATTCCTCTTCACGAGGCGATCTCGATACAACAAAAACTCATCTGGCTACGCGGCACGGCTCATCATCCCCTATATCGGAGCCCGTGAGTGGTACAAGCGCGCGTACGGTCAGACGAGGCATCCCTTCGATGACGGCCTAATAAAAGCGGGAGGAAAGTTGCCACTTGTTGCTGAATTACGCAACGCAGAGGCATAGAGGCGCACGGACAGTGATGGTTGAGCCAAGTAATAACATCTCTATGTGTTCCACAGGGACGGAATGGTCGTCTCACGTTCGCATAAATCGCTCGAAAAAGGGAAACATGGGGGAAACAACGCAAGACCCGTGTAATCTGGTTGCTTTTAACACTGGCACAAGCTCCGACACGTCGTATTGTGCCGCGTGTGCCTTCCGTTTCCGCATTGTTTCGTTAACCATGATGAGATTTATCGACGAGAATAACGTTCGGATGTAAATACGTGCTTACGTTTCGTTATTTAAATGGAAATTAATTTATCGTAATATAATCTGTCTTAAGGGAGAGGGAGAGAGAGAGAGAGAGAGAGAGAGAGACGAATTCTTGTTTTTGTTATATTATTAATTTGAACGTTCTTTTTTTCTTTTTTAGTGTTGCATTATGAATTTATCGACAATTGAAACGAATATGCAAAACGAATATTCGCAACGAAGGGGTTAAGAATATAATTTCGATTGGTAATTTCGCTCGATCTGTCTCGAACGTATATAACAAAAGTTTTCCAACGCTTGTTTATTTCAATATGAATCTGCACAGGAATGCGATAACGTGACAAATATATGAACATACAGGAAAAATATCGAAGAATTCATATACGTATCGAGTATTTTAAATTTAATATTTGACTTATAACGGGATTGTTTAATTTTCGCACGTAAAAGAAAGTTATTTTTTTTTCTTCTTCTTCTTTAAAACACGTATCAACAATGGAACGAATCTTAAACGACTCGTTATTAAAAATTCATCCTTATTCGCTTCGTAATTTTTCTTTCCTTCCAAAGACAAGATTGCAAATTACATTGCAAATTCAAGTATATATCCTCGAGTTTGCCAAAAATTTCCATACTTCCTCCATGATTTATCGCCACGTCCCAATCGTTCAAACGCTACACCGATATCCGTGAGACAATGTAACTTATCACGTTCCACTTTATCAAACCAGTTGCACTTCGCCAAACAAAATGCAACTCTCTCTCTCTCTCTCTCTCTCTCTCTCTCTCTCTCTCTCTCTCTCTCTCTCTCTCTCACTCTTTTTCTTTTCTGAAAAACATTTTTCCCCATGACCCCCCCGTGGAAACATAAATCACTCGATGCAATTTCCACGGTGTTCCTCCTCCCTTCCAAGCATCCCCCTGCTTGAATTATTCAAACCAGATCAGGTCAGATACCCGAAACGGAGGAACTTTCTTTTCGTGTTTCGACAGAAGGCGAGAGGAAAGGGCAGCGTTCGAGTTTAATTATTTAAGAGAAGAATCTTTCGACGAACAGGTTTCAAGAGACGATGAGTTCGATACTCGAGGGGGATACAAGGAACGAGGAGTGATAAGGAGAAGGTAAACGAAGGGAGAGGTCGAACGCCTCGAGAGACGGTTGGTTGAATATTTTTCTTCCAAAGTGCAACGTTCCCCTTTTATTTATATAAATTGCTTGTTTCGTCGAAATATCCTCGAACGGGTTCTCTCTTGCGAGAAGTGTCGAATCGAATTTATATTTTCACATCCCCTCCCCCATATCTCGCTCTAACCTTCTCGTCCTCGCTTTATCGCTCTTCTTTATCTTCGCAATATTTGCAAAAGATTTTGTTCGCAGAAATATCTCGAGAAATTGAAATTGTTGCATAGAATTCATTGTTACATTCCGATACGTTCTTCTTCTTATCACGAATACAAATATTCCCTTCCTCAAGAAATATCGAGCAAGAGAAAAGGATAAAGAATAATCCTTCGACGTTTCCATCATTCAAACTGAAAACCAGCGGGGGGTTCCAGCGTCTCGATTTTACGCTTCCCCCTCTCCCCCTTGCAAGATTCCTCCGTAGTAGTAACATCCGTTTTCAGAGTAGCTCGAGAGGAAGGGGGAGGGGGAAGGTACGTGAGGGAAATACGCGAGGAACTTCCCTTCACGAGGACGGTCATTGTGCCGCTTAGAAGTTGCTTAAGCTAATTGTGACAGCCACCTTGGGAATTTCTCTGTGCGGGGGAGGGGGGGCTAATAGCCGGGCCGGAGTGGCTCTTTACGATGCCATCGTGGCTCGAGCTGATTAAGCGCACCGTGGACCGATGCTGCAAGACGATAATTTGCATCTGGATTACACCCGATAAACGATAAATCGTCCATAATATCACGCGTTAAATTCCGCGAATTTATTGGGGGAATACGTGCTTCTTTTTCTTCTCTTTAAAATGGGTTTTTAAAATGGCCAATCAGGATCGAAGAAGATCTTGGATGAAAGAAAAGTATATACGTAGGAGACTTCTTTTTTCTTTTTTTCATTTTCATTTTGGAAAATAATAAAGATCGAAATATGGAATTATAATTCATATCAGCTTCGAGATTCTTTCCTTATTTAAAAAAAAAAAAAATTCTTTCCTTGTTAAAATATTCATCGAAAAACGAGGTTGCTCGAGTTTCGTTTCTTTTTTTTTTATTTTTCTGGAACGAGTCGACCATTTTCAA